GGAAACCCTAGAAAGAATCTCCAAAAAAACAAACCCCATTGATGGCCACCTATTTTTTTGGAAAGCCAGTCTCGGCAGATATCCTGCAACATCCTGCAACGATTTCAATAGAGATTCCTCGCATAATATCGCTCCTGAGGAGGGAAAACGGAGAGAATGATCCCATATTCCTTTGGGCAATTGCCGAGCTAATTGAGTGAGGTGAAGAGTGGTGTCTCTGGTGAGGATTAGACTAATTTTTAAATGGAATTGCAATCGGAGCAGTTCACACATAGCGAGAGGCCCGAGCTCCGGAGATTTGTTGCTAGAGTGTGGCGGTGAGGTGAGCCCACGCCGAGCTGTGGGCGTGTGCGTGCCATGGATTTCACACAGGATCTTAAGGCAAGGAAATCCTTGCTGATCGTTGCAGTTTCTGTTTGAGATTTGAGTATGAGTTTTGAGTTCGTTTCGTTTCGTTTCGTTTCGCGCAGCATGACGAAAGGTAAATTTTGTAAACAATTGTGCTAATTAAGCCAGCCCAATAAAAATCGGCTCACGGAGGTCCTTGCGAAAGGATCGAGGCAGGCCAACAAGCAGGCCAGCGAACGCACTTGAACTAAATCCGGTAGCTTAAACGAGTTAAAGGAACTTGAACGGAACTTAATCCCATAAATTTGGGAAAAATACAATTTTAATCAGGTTAATTCGTGTGTAGCGCGACTCGGTTGCATGCAACATGGTCTATGGCCGGATCAATGGCAGGTAGTAGGTTATGTTGGCCAGGCGAAAGCGAAAGGATTAGGCCGCCGGATCCAAGGGGATTTAGCTCAAAACAGAGGTGAGCCGGCCATGCCCATCGCTCCTGCCCCGTGCGACACTTTAATTTAATCTAGAAAGGACAACGCAGGACATTGCCGGACAAGATGGGAGCGAGCCCCGGATCAGTGTTCAGATTATATAGTCTCGGCACTGCTCTGCTCGTATATTGCCAAATATTCCTCAGACTTGGTCCTTCAAAGACTATTTCAAGACAGATTGCAAAAGTTTGCACGTAAATCCTCGAGATTAGATGTCTAGATCCCCAGATTTTCCAATTTCCCGGCGCACAGATCGCTTAGATTAGCCCAATTGTTAGGTCAATTGAGAGATCACTTGAGTAGAGCATGCAGAGGGGTATGCAAGTGGGTCACCAGGTCACCAGGTCACTAGATCACCAGATCACTAGATCACCAGGAGGCAGTGGTCTAGGTAGAAAGCCGCTGGAAAGCCACTGGTCATGCCCACTAAAGCTAGCAGTGCCTCCGATTAAAATCCCAGAATCCCAGGTGACTTTCGACTAACTAGGCAGGAGATCTAGGATCAACTAGGTTAAAAAAATTGGAAATATTTATATAAAGGATATGATATCCCCTTGATCATGATGATCCTGACACCAGGACACGTGCTGTTCTCGCGTTTGGCAGGCGCGAGCAGCATAAAGGATCGTTGCCAATCGATCGTGACGCCCCAAAAAAAGGATACAAGGACGAGGGACCAGGGGCGAGATTAAGGACATGAGCAAACACATTTCGGCGAAATGTCAACAGCAACGGCTGGCGAATCAGATCCTGGCGATCGCCGATCAGCAATCCTTTTGGGGTTGAAATATGAAAAAAATATGAATAAAAACCGACAATCATGATCGGAATGGGGGGGGGGAGATCATACATATATCCTGGGGTATCCTGATTGACATTTGTGCCCTTCTCACCTGGATCTCAGTGGGATCGTGATTGGAGTGTGCTCTGCACGTGGCCAAGGACAACCGAGAGAGAGAGAGAGATGGCGACGCGCCAGGCACTCCTTTGTCCTTTGTGTGGTTAGGCCCGCCCGTCGTCTGATCTCTCCTATTTTTTTATTTTTTGTGTCAAGGATATCTTGGCGTGCCTTTTTTTCTTCCTTTTTTTTTTTTGGCAATCGATTACAAGAAAATTATGATGTTTTCAAAGGATAATCTCGGTTGCAACATCTTTGGTTTGTTTTGGGTCCGGGCCCTGGGTTATGCATCATTATTTGGCTCACACTTGACATTTGGATTGTTTCGCCACAGAAAGGACATACAAGGACAACAAAATGCCAATTAGGTATTAAGATCTTGTCCTTTTTTTAAGGAAAAAGGAGAGAATTCATGTCCCAGCGGAGACCATTTTTATGGCGAATCGATTAAAGACTTTTGATTTCGATTTCGCCATTTTTGGGAGTTCCTCGAGAGTTACGACAGATATCCATCACGCAAGGGTTGCACAAGGGTGGAAGGACTCTACCAGGCCGTCAAGGGGGTTGCAGCTTCCAACCCTCACCTCTATTCCTGGCGTGGATAGTCCGGGTGGGGGGTTGGGAACACGTGTCCATGATTAAATAAAATGTTTGGCAATTCGTTTGATGGAAATGCAACCCTTTGGGTTACTGCCTCGTCCTTTTCCCTTTCCGGAGGCAGCATCTAGGACTAAATAGGCAAGTGACAGCCTGGATTGAACAAGGAGTGAGGGTCCTGCTGTCCGGTTATTGACCACAGGACAGGGTTTAAGCCTTTGGCCGACAAACTCACCAAAAATCATCAGCCACAAAAAAGGGGTTTGCAGTTATATATAAGCGAATTAATATTTTATATTTTATTTTCTTACGTTATTTAATATCTTTAAAATGTTGTCCTTAAATTTTAAATTGATCCAAGAAATACTTACTGAGAAAAAGTCAAAAGGAATAGAGGACTTCAGTGTGAGGCTATACCTTGTCATTCAAACTGAGATACCAATTAAGATGGTTTTCCATTTTTTAATTTTAAGATCCCCTGGTTTAGCTAAATCATGATAACCAGGAGGGGTCCTTATTTTGTTTGGTGCCCTACTTCATGCTTCGATTTTAAAAACTGCACATGATTACTTAAATCCTTTTCCTTATATCTCCTAAAAGATATCCCTAATATCTCTTCAAAAAATTCAACGAAACAAATTCCCAAAAAACGCATTTTTTCTCACAACCCGGTTTTCAAAAATCAGTTGACTCTTGATTTCTTCAAAAATAATTAACCGTTCCTGATTAAATTTTAAACAGGGCATTAAGCACATATTAGAGATACCCAATAGTAGATAAACGAAGGACTTTTCTTTATATTTTAGTTAAAACTATTTGAAAAATTAGAAATGCTTTACAATTTAATAAATTTGTTAGATTTCTTTGTAAAAACCTGCCTCAAAAATTCTATTTTCATTATTGTGTATTTTCCTTAGTTTATTTACTAGTTAAAGGTACTAATTAAATATGTATTTTTTCTGCTGATTTCAATGCTGATATTCATACTTTGAGATATTCCGTCAACTAGAATGAACCTTTCAAAAGCTTAAATTCTTAAGAATTGTACTTTATACTTTACTTTAGTTTTTTTTTCTAGATCCTTTTATTTTCTCCTATAAATTTTTTATTTTTTATTTAAAAGTTTCAAAAATTTGCACATTTAAATGTTTATCTTTTAAACCAGAATGATTTTGTACTAAAAAAAGAAGTTTTCTATTACAAAACTTGTTGAAAATAATTAATTAAAAACTCTACCTTATAGAGGAAATATTTTCCAAAATATCCTTTTTATTTTTTACCCCAAAAGATTCAAAAAATCAACATTTAAATGTTAATCCCTACAAAAAGCTTGAAAGTAGTTTCTTCCTTTTAAAAATAAATGATTAAAAATAGTCTCTTAGAGAATGTACTTTATAAAGGTCCTTTTCCTTCAATATCCTTGATTATCCTTCACCAATTCGTTTGAAATTCAAAACTTTTCATCTTGAACTCTTCCCAGGTGTTTTGCCAATTCATGATATTCTGGCCAAAAAAAAAAAAGAAACAAAAAAAGCCGCAAACGTGTGAACACCGCCGTGATTGTCCAGTTATCTGCCACAAAAAAGGACAATCATTTTTCATTTGCCAAATTTTACAGTTAATACGGAAAACAAAGCCTCAAAGACGCTGGCTAATATTCCACAAGAAGGACACGACTCGGACACGGACTGGGACTCGGACTAGGAGAATTCAACGGAAGCAGGACGATTATGAGCAGGACTCATGTATGCTTCTGGACAATGACGTTTTTATTGATAAAAATTATGCACGCTGCAGGACAAAGGCCAGTCCTGTCGTCCTTAATGTTGGACAACTTGACTCAGCAGAAAATGCAAAAAGGAGTAAGATAGTTATAATAACAAGAAGCGATCGGCCAGCGATCCTGGGTCCTGGGCACAAAGGTCCTGTCATAATGGCTCAATCAGGCCGGCAGGATCCTAGGCAGGATTTTTTTGTTGACACAATGTCTGGCCTGGAGCAGAATCCTTCCTCTGGCGACAACTTTCCAGCCTTGTCGGCTTACATTAAACAGTGAGATCCTGCGACATGTTTGTCTAACGGTTTCTGGTTCCTGGTTTGCAGTTAGAGGTCAAAGGATAACGGTTAAGATTTAACGGTTCTTCCTGTAAGAGTCCAGCTATAGAGGTCCTTTTGATTCCCACCAAAAAAGTTCTTTAAATTAACTAAGATTTTGCTTTAAAATGTTCGATATTTTTTAAACAAGGACTTTACTACAAGGCTCCTCTTGGACCCCTTGGATTTTCTTCTCCTGAAATTCTCAATCATCATCCAAACTGTGAAGAGTGGGCGTCGCCCGGTGGCCGCCTCCTTCGGCTAACGATTATTTGGCAGAAAATTTGGCAATTCTGTAAAAAAAAAAAGTAGAGAAGGCGAGTCCTGCAGAAGATTCCGGCAAAAGGATTTAACTGCTAAAGCGTAAAAATGCCGTTAAGACCATTGTGTGCAGCACCCTTCCTAGGTAGGAAGTGACGTGACGCCCTGTTGACTTAAGATTACGAGGACACAGGATCCGGGGGATGAGTCTTCTGCGAGGTACTGTGAGCTGAATCCCTCCAGTTCACTTGTCCTTAAGCCGGCTGAGCTGCATAATTTTCCATAAAAAATAAACAATAACAAGCAAGGATATGTGGCTTTCTCAACAGGATCTCTTTTTAGTTGTGATTTTTCAATTGAAAGGAGGACGAAATAGGAAAAAAAATGATGCTTAAAAGCTAGTAAAGCTATTGACTCTTCTTGATGACGTGCGCCAGATCGTAGACACCGCGAACGGCCTTCAGCTTGACGCCGGGCACGTCCTGCAGCCGACCCACTCGGCACAGGACGATGTTGTGCTCCTGCAGGTTGTGTCCGATGCCGGGGATGTAGGCCACCATCTCCTTGCCGGTGGAGAGGCGGACGAGAACGCACTTGCGGTTGGCCGAATTCGGTTTCTTGGGCTTCTTGATGAAGGTCTTCAAAACGACACCCTTGGCGAAGGGTTTGCCGTCCAGGGGCTGGCGTGGCGGACGCTTCTTGATGTGGGGTCCGGTGCGATGCATCTGCTGGAGCGAGGCCATGCCTCTCAGGGCGCTCTCATAGCTGTTGTGGATGGCTGGAAGATCGGAGAGGATGCTCGACAGAATTAGAAGGTGGCGTACTAAAGCGTATTCTCTGGTGTCTCCAAAGCAGCTGCTCCTGTTTCACCTAGAACCCCTTACCCCGAACCCACACACAACTGTACCCCGATGGGTCAGGCCACAAAGGGTCAGCGAGAGAGAGATATCAGAGGGAGACAATGCCCGCTGTGTGTGCGCCCGATAGCTGGCCATTGTTGTGGGCTAATCTCTGTGAAAATCGGTTGGAATGCGAATCCACAACATCCAGCAATAATTGACAGCCAAAATGACGCGCATGCGCAAATGTCCAGTCCCGGGCCAGTCAAGCCTTTTCCTGGACAATGCATCCAGTCGTTTTAATTATAAAAATGCCACCAACAGATCTCAGGTAATAATTTCCATATGCAGGATTGGATGCAACCACAAAACCCAACAAAAAAAAAAAAACAAAAACAAAGCCGAAAAAAAATAACAATAGCCGGTCGGGTCGGCGGAGAGAGAAACAAAAACGAGAAACGATCATCCCACCACCTGCGACCTGCAACGGGTGACCTTTTTTTTGTGCGGTTGCCAATTTCTGGATGCATTTTTGACAGGTTTTCAATTAAAAGCGGATCCTCCATTGGAGGTGGCCCTGAGAACGCGACTATCAAAATATTCTCAAGCGGAAAGTGCGACGGACACGCGACGCTGCCGGGAATGGGTGCGTGGGTGCAGAACCCAGACTCGCTGGCCTGACAAAGGGTTGATATATCCGCCAACTCATCTCCAATCTCTCTTAGAATAACAACTAGCCTAGCATTTGTGTTTAATTTAAAAAGGGCAAAACTTCAACTCACCCTGCGCCGTCAACTGTTTCGTAATTCCCAAAGTTTGCCGCAAAAAGTTCATGGTTTCTCCTGTTTCCGATCGGTGGTTTTCCAAGCTCCAGCTGATAACTGATACTCGTAGTCAGTTCAGATCACTAAATTACTTCACTTTACTATGTTTCTTTTAATTAAAATCACTATTTAAGTAATAAAACTTTAATTCCAATCAGCCAATGTGAGAAACAGCTGTTTGGCAGCAGTGTTGCCACCTGAATGTCTGCTAACAGTTCGCTTAACAGCGCACAGTGAGCTGTTCGGCGCACTGTTAACCTAATGTTATGCAGCCCTGGCGTAAAGAGCGCGTATTTTGAAAATCCCACTCGTATTAATAAGACATTTTACTGTTTAAATTTTAATTTTTAAAATTTTTAATCCAAAAATTGGTATAGTTGCGTTTTAAACTGTTACTTATAGCTAATTTAGGATGCTTGCTTTATGGGTGGTGTAAGAAATACGAGATGTGGGTGAATATTAGTCACAATTCGCGAGAGTTACGTGTGCTTAGGGCCTAGGATCTTAGCCACTAGTTGAACTAATCGATTCGAGTCGTCCGACAATAAATAAATAACACTACAGGTCTAGCCTAGAGCTACGTACAGGACTTATTCGAGCTGCCTCCTCCTCCAAGGAGTTGCAGAACATAAAAGTTAATTATTTCAATAAAAAAAAAAGGATAATTAATAACTCTATTGACTATCAGGCCGGAACTGGCCAGAATCAACAGTTCCACGTGTAATGATGGCTTAAAGCTACTTTTAACAACTAGATCCTAACTACGAAAATGGAACTGAATCTTAAGAGAATAGGATTCGACAGCTCCGCCGGCCTGTTCTACGAATATTCATAATAATACACATCGCACTTCGGCTCCTAATCCTAATCCTAAAGTGGTCTTCCTTCCATGGATCCTGCTCCTGGCTCCTGCCTCAGCTTTACACCTCAATACTGTTGAGACTGCCGGAGGATATGTTGTCCGTGTGGCTGCCCAGCCGCGTCCTCTTGATCATCGCCCGGCTCGGCATGGGGGAGCGCTGGACTCGCGGGCTGCCCGGCACGATGGGTATCCCCACCAGGCCACCGGGATGGCCGGGGTGGTGGTGCAGGTGCTGGTGGTGCGGCGGCAGGTTGTTGTTGTTGTGGTTCAGGTTGAGATTGCTGTGGCTGTTGTGCTGGCTGCCGGAGGTGCGACGCTGCCGCCTCAGCGAGGGAATCCTCGAGGGCGTGGGAGTGCCCTCCTCCATGTGGTAGCCCCCAGCCTGCTGCAGGTGATGCTGTTGCTGCTGCTGGAGCTGCTGGAGTCCTCGGACGCTGCGCTCCATCATGGGCGAGGGCTGGTGATGGTGGGCGGGCGCCTGCTGGTAGTATGCCGAGTGGGGTGGCACTGGCGGCGGCTGCTGGTGGTAGTCGAGGCGCTTGTGGAGCAGAGTGGGCGTGCCGGGCGGATGGTAGGGCTGGGCGTGGTGCAGGCCGTTCTGGTGCAGGCCAGAGGTTGCCTAGGGGAGCACAAATTACAAAATCATTAGCTTGGGATGGATCTCGCGGGGCGGTGGATGAGTTCTGCATGAGTGACGGCATGTGGACAAAACAATCTAGGCTGGGGGTTGGCTTGGAGCTACTGGGAGCCACCGCCAAGTACTAGAACCTGCCTCGCCGGATCACAAGCTCTTCTCCGGCCAGCAAGGTCTACTACTTGGCTTCCGGGCTCGGCTTACTTGGCCAGCATTCGCGGCTGGTTTCTTGGGCAGCGGCGGCAGCGGCTTGCTGGGCGCCTCCAGGGCAGACTCCGGACTCCGACCCGGCTCCGGCTTGGGGCTGAGACCTAGCTTCAGGCCCTCGTCGCAGGCCTCGAGCGTTTCGCAGGAGGACGAGGCTGCCGCCGGCCGTGGCGAGTCCTCTTCCCTGTCGTCCTCCTCCATCTCCTCCTCCTCCTCATTCTCTTCGGTCTGCTGCTCTTTCCGCTCCTCTCCGGAAGCCATGTGGTCCTCCATCTGTGCGGGAAGGCTCCCGTTGCCATTGCCATTGGCGGCAGATAGTGGCGGCAGAAAGCGCAGCTCCATCACGTTGCGGTTCTAGAACGGTGGACGCTCAATTGGCGATTCTCGCAGATGGCAAGCGAAAGTGACAGAGACAGCAACAGCGGGGGAAAAAGAGAGCGAGAGCGATAGACAGGGGGCCCAGAAGGGGGTGTGTGGCGGGTGGGTATGGAGCGGGTGTATATAATCGTATAATTTTGACCAACCAACCAGCGAAAGTTTTGTTTTCAAGGATGAAGCTTGTATATGAAAGTGGAGCATCCATGGTTGGACCAAGGTCCGGGAACTCACCTTGTCGGAGGCCGCCTCCTGGGCCAGGGGATTCGGAGTGATGTTCATGCGGGGAATCACGCCGTTCAGACGCCGTACATCGCCGCTTTTGTGGTGACCGCCGACACCCAGGACCGCCGAGGTCACAAAGTCGGCTTGAATGTGCTCCAAGTTGGGTTTGTTTTCCTCTGGAAAAGGACACACCGGATTAGCTAATCATGGAGGAGGTCTGACCACTGGATACCCACCTTCTGGCTGGACATTTTTGCGCCTGAGACAGAGACAGGCCACCACAGTGGCTATCAAGAGCAGGAGGCCTCCGCCGGCAGCTCCGGCAATCACCGGAAGAATGGAGTTCTGCTGCTGGACCGTCACCGGAGTGGTGGGCAAGGCGGTGGCTGCCGGATCGCTTAGTTCTGTAAGGGAAGTCCTTGGTTATAACAGAGATTCTACAAGTCAGGGCTTCGGTCTCTACTCACGCTTGGTCTTGGCCTGCCGGATGGCACTGAACTCTGAGGCGGCGTCCGCATTGAAGGACTGTAGTTTGAACTCGTAGGTCGTACCCGGTAGCAGCTGGTCGATCTTGAAGCTCCTGGTGTGTCCCCCATCCACGGTGGCCTTCAGATACTCGCCCGCCGAGTCCGCGGGTCGGTAGTAGGCAAAGTAGCCATCGATCTGGGACGTGGCGCCATCGGAGACCAGCGACCAGTGCAGGAGGACGGCGGACTCGGAGTAGGCCTCCACTTCGCGAAGCTCCGGCACCGGCAAGTTGGACTTGGCGGAGCCGCGTTGTAGGAAGAACTTCACTGAGGTGTTGCCCTCCTTGTTGTCGTAGTTCGAGTATACGGCCACGATCCGGAAGCGATAGAATCTATCCGGCAGCAGGCCCATCACCGAGTAGGTGAAGTTCTTCGGAGGATTAACCACCGCATCGTGCTGGTCGTGGCGATCTCTGTCCCGGCCGCGGGGCCTCTTGGTATTCGAGCCGTAGCTGTAGGGAATGTTCTCGCTGGTCGTCTGCCAGGTGTCCCGCGGTATGGTGCCAGTGGCGTCGCCCAGCATCCGGTACTGGACCTTGAAGTAGCCGATGGCCAGGCCGGCGTTTTGGGGAACGCTCCAGCGCAGCATAACAGCTTCGTCCGAGAGGCGGGTCACATTGGGGCGGGACGGTGGCACCATGTTGGCTGTAAAGATTCATTTTTGGTTTTAATATTTATTTTTTAATTAAAATTAAACGAATATTTCTAAAATTATGGGTTTGAATTACTGCAAAAGGCGGGACAGTAAGACTTTTATTAAAAATTTATTTCAAAAAAATCTATTAAGTTTAAAGCCTTTGTTTTTTAATGTTGTAAAACTACATAAATGCAGCTTTAAAACCATATATAATACTTTAAAATAATATTAGAATTAGTAAAGATTGAAGAAGTTAAAAATAAAACTTATTTTCCAAGTGGCAGAATTAAGTATTTTTTGGAAAAGCAAACTAAGTATTTTTTTTTCGTTTAAAAATAATCCTTAAAACTTTGTAATTGAAAAAAAGTCTACATCACCTTGAAAATAAAAAAAAATTTAAGATTCTTAATTTAAAAAAAAAAAATTGTAAAATAAACTAAAACCAAGTTAAATATTTTAAATCTAGTACTGTAATCGATAAAAAAATATACCATTACCCACTAAGTGTGACCAAGCACAAAATATCGCAACAAACGATACTTTATCGGATAAAATACCACGATATAAGTATTTTTTCTCTGAACACCTATCGATACTTCGATAAAAATGCATATTTCAACATCCCTATTTTGAGCCAAAAAGTTGTATTTTTTTTGTGGACAACAAACGTCTCGCGTGTGAACGAATAGAGGAAATAATGCTAGCTACGATTAGCTAAACGGCGACTAGCGATCGCCGTGCTAACGTATTAATACAACAGTTGCGGCAGTGAGGGCAATATTGCGGAATATTTAGTGCAATAATACACACATTAGGTGGCACTCATTCGATGAGTGAGAGAGAACGAGAGGGAACGAGATTCTGAGCGGCCGATTGATTTTGTGGCTCTCGCGAACTCAACTCAGACCTGAACGAGCCACCGAAACGTAAACAGAATCGGAGAACCGCAGAAAAGACTCAACCCGAAAGTTAAGTTCCCACTCACAACAAATAATAATAATGTCGGCACAGGGCGAGGGCAGTGGTGGGGGCGGCGGTAGCGGTTCCGGTGGCGGTAGTGGTGGTGCGGCGGTCAGCGAGGGCGGCAATCCGGGCAGCGGGAGTTCAGCTGGCGGCGCCACCGTAGTGGTCACCAATGGCGGCAGCGGTGGCGGAGGAGGTGGTGGTGGCGGGAACAAGAGCCAGCTGCCGCTGACGCCGCGCTTCACCGCCGAGGAGAAGGACGTGCTATACAACCTGTTCCATCTGCACGAGGAGGTCATCGACATCAAGTACCGGAAGAAGCAGCGCAACAAGTACTCCGTCCGCGAGACCTGGGACAAGATAGTCCGCGACTTTAACTCCCATCCGAACGTCAGTGCCATGCGCAACATCAAGCAGATCCAGAAGTTCTGGCTGAACTCCAGGTGAGATGTCCAGCAGAGGAGTACCAGGGCTGGCAGGACTAATATATATCCTTTTGTGTCGTCTTTCGCAGACTCCGCAAGCAGTATCCCTACCGAGAGGGCGCCTCCTCCAATCTCAGCTCTGGCAGTGCCAAGATCAGCTCCGTTTCCGTCTCCGTGTCGGCGGCCGTGAACCAGCAGCAGCAGCAGCACCACGAGAGCGTCAAGGTGGAGCCGGAGTACCAGATCAGTCCGGATGCCTCCGAGCACAATCCCCAGGCGGACACCTTCGACGAGATCGAAATGGACGCCAATGACGTGAGCGAGATTGACGAGGATCCCATGGACGCCCAGCAGCAGCAGCAGGAGGCCCAGGCCCAAGCTCAGGCCCAGGCCCAAGCCCAGCAGCAACAGCAGCAGCAGTCGGCGGCTGCCGAAATGCAGAAGATGCAGGTCTCCGCTGCAGTGGCCGCGGCCAACGCCACCATGCTCAACACCCACCAAATCAACGTGGACCAGATCAGCGCCGACAAGCTGACCCTCAACGACCTGCTCCACTTCAAGACGGCCCGGCCGCGCGAGGAGATCATTCTGCAGATCAAGCACCCGGCGGAGGGGACAGGTAAGTCCGATCCGGTGCCACCATAGGGATGTCCTATTAACATCAGTCCTCCAACCGACAGCCACGCAGATCCACACGATACCCTCCCAGCCGCAGCAGCACACGATGGCCACCATCACCGCCGGCGGCTACAACCAGCAGATTATCAGCGAGATCAAGCCCCAGCAGATCACCCTGGCCCAGTACCAGGCCCAGCAGCAGCAGCAGGCCCAGGCGCAGGCCCAAGCCCAGGCCCAGCAACTGGCGCAGCAGCAGCTGGCGGCGGCGCAGCAACAGCAACTGGCCGCCGCCGTCCAGGTGCACCACCAGCAGCAACAGCAGCAGGCCGCCGCCGCCGTGGTGGTGCAGCAGCAGCAGCAGGTCGCCGCCGCCCAGCAGCAGGCGCAGCAGCAGGCGGCGGCAGCGGCGGCCGTCAAGATGCAACTGACCGCCGCCACGCCCACCTTCACGTTCAGCGCCCTGCCCACGGTGACGGCGTCGGCGACCGTGCCCGTACCGGTGGCCACCGCCACGGCGCCAACCAACCCGGGTGCCGGCAATGGGGCGGCGGGCGGCGCCAACACCTCCGCGGTGAGCAACACCAGCCTGGTTGGCGGCGGGGGCGGCGTGGTGGCCGGCGGATCAGTGGCCTCGGCCCAGGACAACTACGAGGAGCGGATGAACTACTTCAAGGTGCGGGAGGCGGAGCTGCGGTGCAAGGAGCAGCAGCTGGCCACCGAGGCGAAGCGCATCGAGCTGAACAAGGCCCAGGACGAGCTGAAGTACATGCGGGAGGTGCACCGGCTGCGCGTCGAGGAGCTCAAGATGAAGATCCGCATCCTGCAGAAGGAGGAGGAGCAGCTGCGCAAGTGTTCGGGGTCATGAGACCTGGAGGACATAAGCGATGCCGACGAGGAGGAGGAGGAGGAGGATCCCGACTCCTATCTGGACCGTTACGGGTCCTCGGGGGGCTTCTAGTTCTAAGTTTTAGCTCTACCACACAGATCCTTTGACCCTTTGACCCTCTGACCATACCACCATGATGTTTTTTTTTTTGGAACTTATCTGTTTAGTTGACACGGGGCGGGGGCCCGCAGCTGGCCAGGTTTAGCGACTAAGCCATCACTAATTGTAAATCGAATTCGCAATCATACACGGAATTATACAAAAAATAGAGAGTGGGCGTGGCCACATAATCCACGACGAGAACTTGGAAAGGCTATTGTTTCCTCTACGGGATGGGGGGGGCCTTCAAGGACCACCAAGGATAATGTGGAGTGGGTACTCACCTCCAAGGCGGATGTACTTCCGCTTGCCCTTGTTCTTGCCGCCGCCGGAGGGCGTGGAGGAGGCTCCGCCCTGGGATTCGTGCATGGGCCGCACGGGCACTCCTCCGAGGGGCTTGTCGCCCTCGCCGGTGATCTGGAGGGGAGTCACCTTCAGCATGTTGCCCTCGCTGGTCTGTGGATGGGAGAGGTTAGGCCATAAGATCAGTAACTATAAGGTCCTCCCGAAGAACTCACCTCGCCGAGGATGTTTTTGGCAAAGCACTGGACCACGCCGGCATGGCGCTTCTGGACCTTGTTCAGCTGCAGGCTTCGATTGTCCACGTGGGCCTCCGCATCGCTGGCCGCGTCCTCGCCGTTCAGCAGCCAGTAGATGTCCGGCTGGGGGTTGCCGGAGGCGGAGCACTCGAGCACCAGGCGATCGCCCTCGGTGGTCAGCGTGGAGGCGGGGCCGCGCAGGATCACCGGCCGCTGCAGGACACTCAGCTTGATGATGTGCATCAGGGCGTCGTGGCCGTTGTCCAGCAGGCACACGTACGAGCCCTGGTCCTCCGGCCGGACGTCGGTGATCTGCAGGCCGTAGGGCAGGATCTTGGTGCGATTGGGATTGAGGATGACGTTGGGACTGCTCCAGACCGCAGTGGGTCGTGGCGACCCCACGCCCGGGCACTCCAGGACGATGGTTTCCCCAGGGCGGGTGGACAGATCCGTGGGCGGGCGCTGCAGGAAGTAGGGGGGAGTGCGATCCGTGTAGTCCACCCGGAGCTCAATGGTCTGGGGCAGGTCGAGCTTCTGGCCGGTGATCGCATTGGTGGCCGCGCAGGTGTAGTTGCCGGCATCCTTGGCCGTCACCGAGTCCAGGATCAGAGCCCCCGCTGCTCCCGAAAGCAGCTCCGTCTGCGGCACCTTCTCGCCGTTCCGGTAGAAGCTCCAGATGGCCGGCGGATTCGAGATGACACTCCCACACCGAATCAGGATGCAGTTCTTGGGCGCCACACTCCACCGAATGGACCCACCCCGGTTCCCGGCACTCGTATCCAGGGCCAGGGTCACCAGCGACAGACGGGCCGGCGTGGAGGCCAGGGCTCCGGGTCCGTACCATGCCACGCACTGGTAATCGCCTACGGTATGGGGTCCCACGTAGATCCTCAGCCGCCAGGCCCGGTCCTCGTTGCCGCTCGTCACATTGTAGCCGGCGGAGGGTCGCAGGTAGCGGTACGGCTCCGTGGAGCCACTCCGCCGGAAGCGCCACTCCAGACTGTCGGGCTTCAGGTTCAGTTCGCACTCGAAGACCACCTCGTCGTCCTTGGGCGCCACCGCCGACTCGGGTGCCCGCTCAAAGTAGACGCCCAAGGGATCGGAGCCCGAGGAGCTGATTTCGCTGGAGGCCCGAAGGCTGCCCACGAGGGTGAGGGTCACCATGAGGGTCAAGGTCAGTGCTGGTATCAGTTTATGGTCTGCCATTTCTTCTCTAAAGTCTGCAATGGAAAGGGATGGGGGTTTACAGTTGGGGGTATTAGCTTATTAGTTAATTCATTAATTATTTAGTTTATTCATTTATTTATTAAATCCTAACTTTAATTTAAAAAAAAACTCTTCAACCTCCTTCCTAAAAAACGAAACCCTTCAAAGATCTCTGGAATGCGATCGTTGGGACAGTGATGTTTTCTTCCCTACTGTACCCACTGCAACCTGCTGGTGGTGGTGCTTCTTCTCCTCCAGCTGGCCCCTAAAAGGGGGCGTGGCAACGGAAGCAGTTGGGGCCCAGCAATGTGCCATTTAAACTGGAGCTGCAGCACAAGAAAGAGAGAAAGACTCAAGGACTCGTCGTCGTCGTCGTCGTTCAGGCCCAGATTGTTAATGGCGTGTCATTATTATGAGCTGCCCAGCCCCAGTCCCCAGTCTCCAGTCCCCAATCCCCAGTCCTCCAGTCCCTACTCCTCCAGAACGAGTTGGACGAGCGTCTGGCCTGCGACAGTTTGGGGCACTCGGGCTCTCGATTTGAAATTTAAACGATGCCACAACACAAAAGCGCGCCCGGAATTCCAAGAAATTGGCCGCCCAGTCGTTAGGTTGTTGCTTCCTTTCAGCCTCATCCTCTGCCTCTGCCTTGCTCCTCCTTCTGGTAGCCTCCTCCTGCCTTAGCCTCCTCTTATCCTGCAGACTCCAGACTCCTGACGCACATAAATCGCAACGCGGCTCCCATTTGATAGTCATTATTGGTTCGAGGCGCGTGCAGCTGGCGGTGGATGAGGATCAGTGATGCTCTACTTTCCAGCTAAAGGTTTCTTTGGCTTTTTTTTGCTGAAGGACCTAAGACTTGAGTAATTCTTTAAGAAAGTCTTCTAGCTTCTAGCCAGCACTGTTGCATGTTGCTGGTGGTGCTGCTGCTGGTGGTGGCCACTTGTTAACGCAAGGAGCAAACCGGACTGCCTACACAGCCAGCCACAGGCCAGCAGCAGGCAGCAGGCAACTTGCAACTGGCATCAGGCAACTTGCAACAAACTCAAAACCAGCTCGACGCTGATTTAAAACATCTGACAACAAAAGTAAAGCGCGAAATTGACGCAGGTTTCTTGTGCCACCCTCCCCCCTGCCACTCTGCCACCTTGCCACCTTGCCACTTGTTGCAACTTGGGTTGCGTGTGTTGAAAATTAATGCGCATTCCTCAAGTAAGCTACAAAGGAAATGAATGAAGCAAGAGAGGGCCCCTCCCCCTACCATCCCAAGAATCCCAACAAGGGTCTTGCAACAGATGCTACGAGAATGCATTAAAATGACGTCAGTTACTGGAGAATAGGGAATTTTTGTGGCAAAGATGCAAGTTGGCATATTGATGAATAGCTGGGCTTTCAGAAGACACCTGTGGCTCAAAGACCTTCACGAGGTTTAGGTACATACATGAGTTGAAAGGGTAACTATTGTCTGCTAGTCTCTGACTTGTCACCCACAGTGTGTGTGGCAAGTTGTGACTGCCATGTTGTGGCAGCTAGTGGATTTTATCCTAAAGTCTAGCCTAGTCTGGTCAGATCAGTAAACCTAATTCGATTAGCCACGGACAAGAGCCAGTGATGGCTCCTTTTGTTGACTCATTTGGGAACAGTTGTTCCCCCCCGGCCATTAATCAAAAGACTCTTAATGAATGCCAAATAAATATGTTAAGTATACACTGCAAGAAATCAGACCAACCAGGCCAGTCACTCATCAGTTATATGACCTCCTAGTGGTGTCTAATTTCTTAGCGTGTACTAACTTAGTGGCTGTTTGTTTTCTTTTTCCAACAAAAAATTAGCATAAAACTGTTAGAAGACACTGGGCGTGGCGCCTTTTGGGAAGACAATTGAATACCGGATGGAATCTAAGACAGGAGAGGGGTTCTACCTTCCAAGATCTCGACGATGTGGTGGCCTGGGCTCTTCGCCATCATTAGCCGAGGCAGTTAACAGCTTGTAAAACACCAACACCTGCTACATACAAGCCATTGCCACAGCTAGAGAGTTCAATAGAACCTGGCCGAGTCGAGCTCGTCATTAGTTGTTTTGGCAGAAAAGGAGCACCGGCTAGCCACCTAGAACCAGCTAGTCCACTTGGTAGACGCTTCACTGTACTAGTGAGAGAGATGTGGCGAAAATTCTTTGGCAATGGAACCTGTTTTGGCGGCCAAGTAGCAGCAGCTGAAATCTTCTTTTGAGCGCGACCGGAACCGGAGTCCAAAAACAAGATGCCAAGCTGGCTCTCCAGGAGCTCATCGAGGTTACAAACAAGCGCCCAAAACCCGCCTCTACAGATCTTCAAGATCTTTACAGTTTATCTATAGTTTCTTTCAGTGTAATGTTGAGGGCTGGGTTAAGCGCCAGGGCGGTGGCGCAGAAGGTGAAGAAACTCGCATGTAAACGAGTTCGAAATCTGCATTCCAGCGACCGAACAGGACAGGATTTCTCCACCAGGATGATGATCATCATCATCATCGTGATCATGCCCCACCTGTTTCTGGTTGCAGGAACTCTTCGGCCAAGTGCGTGGGCCCTAAAAACCGATTTGTAAGGTTCTGGGATCTTGGGATGGGTGCGGAATCGAACCTTAAACGCCCACATCTCAATGGCGTGGGCGTTCTCCTGGAGAGGATCAGTGTCCCATTTAGTTACTTACCTTTATGGTCGGTTATGGTCTCTAGCTCGGGAGAGGGCCAATCCTACAGATGCATCTCTGTAAAAGAAAGAAAAAAAGACAAAATATTGAAAATAGACGACACTTTTAATGAATTTCAAAATAATTGAGGCCTAAAGTGGCACAAAAAACGGGCCAGAAGCCGACTGGCGACAGGCCAGAAGCCTAAAAATAAATATGGAAGAGTGGCTAGCCCCGGCACGTGTGGGGGCCCAGAGATAGAGACAAGGGGTATTCCAAAATAAAATAAAATAAACTCTTTTTAGGGGAAAATTAAACCATAAGATACTAGAATTATTATTAAGTTTTATATTTTATAATATAATAGAACCATAAAACTTAAGAGCCATCCCCTGGGGGCTAGTCTTCTTAGTCCTACTTAGTCTCTCCATTTAAAAAGACATTAAGACTAGCTGGAAAATGGCATTCTTTAAAGAAAATTCCATCATAAATATTCCCAAAAATACAAATTCCCAACCGAGTAGCTAAAAATTATGCCAAAAAGATCATAAATAATAATAATGTGAGAGAAGACCAATACTTTTAATTAATTTATGTATAGATTTTTGTTGTTTTTTTTTTTAGACACCCACCCACACACCTCCTCCTCCCCCTGACAGTTGTTGGGTCATAATTTTTCTAGAATTTGTATCATTTTTTTTTTGTAAAGAAAAGAAAACATGGCCTGGCTCTTTATAGAATTTTTTCTTCATTTTTTACCTTCAAAGTTGTCATTTTTTAAGAAATATTTTTCCAATTTCCCAACTGATGGATCTGTTTTGGAAGTCGAGAGGGTAGGGTCTAGACTCTAGACCTTCCTTAAGATATTCATATTAATATATTTTTATGACAGTTGTCAGTCATCGCAGATCTGGTTTTTTTGGCATCTTGCGAGTGAGCTTTTTTTTTTTATGGCCCCGATTATGGGATTTAAATTAATAACTAAATGACTTAATTAAGCTTGAGACTTTCTAAAAAAAAAAAAAAAGTATATCTATATATATGATGGATATATATAGAGAGGAGACTTGGGATGTTTGGAAGCCAGGTCTCTGGGGGCTATCATATTTCAGCAAACTGGCTGCTGATGTTGCAGTTGCTAGTGTTGGGGCTACTGGGGCTACTGTTGCAGCATATTGGGTTGCAGAATGACTCACTCGGTTGCCACTTTGCCGCTTTTGTCGGTCAGTGTGTTAGAAAATAGCCGAATGCAGCCAACATAAATGACAGCTAAGCTTTTTTAGTTTTTTTGTTTTTTTTTTTATATATTTTTTCTCAAGATGTGTGGGCGTGTGAAGCATGACAGGCGTTCTCATCTTATGGCATCGCCACGTTCTCACAGATGTGCCACTGCCACTGCCACTGCAACAGTTGCTGTTATGGTTGCTGTCTTTTTTGTTGTTGTCATAATTAATGCTTGAGCCATGCAATTTCTCCCTTTTTTTTCCCTGCAACTTCTTGTTATTATTATTAGCAGCTGCCACCATGGGCCACCATCACCACCGCCGCCAGCAAACGACATTTGAGCTAATTTTCCCGCTGCTCGCATTCCATGGGTGAAAGCCATCGACATCGCCATCGCCATCCACAGGCTCTGCCACATTTACATTTCATTTTACTGCCACACGCTGCCTCCACCATGCCTCCACCATGCTGCCAAATGCAAAATCCAACTAAAAAATGCAACAAAAAGTGCCACAAAAAAGGCAGCACACATAAAAATAAACTGAACCGCGATCGCCCAACGGCAATCCAAAAGGAAAAAAGCCCAACTTGAGACTCTCAAAGCTGGTAATACCCTGGGAAATAATCATATAGAGGTTCTTATATCATAGATCTGTATAATAGAATAGAGTAGTATATCATTATTAGAACTCTGAAACAAAAGCCCAGACTGTCTTAAGCTGATAACTAAACAAATAACACAACTAAATCTATTCAGGCCGACAAATAAGACCCATTTTCATCAAAAATAAATACAGAAACCTAATCTTGTTCAAAAACAAGGCAGATATTTGTTCAAGTTTGTGGATTTTGAAGAATATTTGTAAGCAATATTCTTATTTAATCAAAACAAGCTCAAATTACAGTGACGAAAGCACTTAGAAATAGTAATTATAGCAACACAGAGAGCTAGAGAACTGATATTCTTAGAAAGCTTAAGCTTTTTAGAAATAAAATATATTTTTAATGAAAATAATACAGCTTTAAAATAGCATTTCACACGTTTTTATTCAAAACAAGGCTATATTCCAGTGACGAAAGCACTTAAACCCATGAAAAAGAGCTATAGAACAGATGTTTGTTTAAGCCTCGTGTTATAAGAATATTTATAATGAAAACAATAAAGATTTTTGAGAATATTCTCATAAAATAGAAACAAAATAAAATTCCAGTGCCGAATGCACTTAAAAACAGGAATGTTAATGACGAAAAAGCTACTCAAGAATGAAAAATATACATGTATGTATATGATTCATAAAGAAACCTTATCCTAATCCTGATATTTGATATCTAATGAACTTTAAAGAAATATCTTTCTGAAATTTAAACAAGTCTTCATTCCAATGACGAAAATACTTCAAAACGGCCATTATAGTAACGATAGAGTTACAAAATAGATATTTTCTTAAGCCTTAGTGGTTTTAGAATATTTCTGATAAAAAAAATAGAGAATTTAGCGAGTTTTCTTATTAAATACAAAAAATACATCAATTTCAGTGACGAAAGTTCTTAATAAATAACAAATATAGTGAGGAATAAGTTACTAAAGAACGATAGGAAAGGATTACAGGTAAAATAGATACAAATTTTACAAAAAAAAAACTTGAAAAGGTTTAAAGAAATAAAGATCTATAATATTTTGAATAAAAATAATAAAGATCTTAAAAGGTATTCCCATTCCAGTGACGAAAGCACTTATAAACAGCTCTTAAATTAACGAATGAGCTACTCGAGAAAGCAATAAAAAGATAAAATATCCCAAAAGTAACAATTTCACTAAAAACTTCTTAAAAAAAAAGCTTAAAAAACAAAGATCTATAGCTACTTTCCTTCAAAACCATCTCCAGGATATCAAAGTAGTCTCAACCCCTAGTCCCCAACCCCACCGATCTGCCTTCAAAAACGTACATATGCGTTGCCCGATTTGAGGAGTAAGTTGCCTCGGTTTCGGTCGGCCTAAGACATGGGGCATGTGGCATGCGGCATGCGGCATGGGGGGCAGAGTGGCTGGGTGGCTCGAGTCCAGTTTTGGAATATCGTTCAATTGGCGCTCTTTCCTCTTCCTCGAGCTCCTTTTTTGTGGAGACTTTGGCTTATGGCAAGGCTTATCCATTTTCGATTTGGTATCCCTCCCCCCCTGCCCCCCTCTTCTGAGGGGATAAGCCGCTCCCTCGCCCTCATTTGCATGCCTATTATAAATTTTTCAAATACTTGTCTTGGGCTGCCCTGGTTGTGGCTTGTTTTTTAAGCTTTTTTTTGTTGTTGTTTTTTTTTTTAGATGTTTTTTGTTGTTTTTGTTGCTGTTTGGCCCACCATGTTTAGTGATGGCTATCGTTGTCATTGTTGTTGCCTTTTTTCTTTGCAATTTATTTGATTTTCATTGCATTAAATTGTGATGTTGTTTCTGTCTTTCTCTGTCTCTCCATCTCACTCTTTGCTTTTGTTTTTTTTATGCTTTTTTTTAGTGCGTTGTCTCCTGATTCTGATCTTGGAATTTCCATTTTTTTTTTTTAGACTTTTGCGCAATTCTTCTGCCTTCCGACCCCCTTCTAATTTTCACCTAACAAGCCTGTCGAGCCATTTATCATAAACATTCGTCAGCTGCCCGGGAAAATTCCTGCCCCTCCCCCATCACCAAACTCCAACCACCCAACCTCCCATCCTCCAATCATTAAGATATTTTCGTTTCTGTAGCTGCTGGGGCAGCTTTTCTTTCCATTTTCCATTTCTATTTTCATGTCAACATGAGAAGAAGAATGCCGGTCTCTCAGGTCACAAAACTATAAGGGCTACAACAAAAAATCGAACCTCTTAGTCAAGCTATGTGGGCTCTTTAATGGCCAGAGATTAGATTTTCCCTCTAGGCCTCTTTTCGGGCCTTTATTATTTTCTTAACTAATGAGCCTCTTTTTGGCTTTTTGCGGCCCACACACTAGCCACCAGTCGCAGTCGCAGTCGCAGTCGCAGTCTCTGGCAAATTGCGCAAATTAATATGAAATTCATCAACTAATTTGGCAGAAAAACAGGAAATGCAACAAGGGGGTATATACATACATACATAGTCTCTTTAAAAAAAAAATAGATATATGTATATCTATAAAGCACACCTTGTTCTAGCTATGTCTCTCTTGGGCGGTCTGGCAGGCAGCCACAAAAGTCACCTACCTCCTAGGAAAAATCACTTTTAGATTTCCCAGCGCGCTAGATGCCGGGTGGCATCCAAATTGGCCCACATTTGGTCTGTCTTTTATAATTTTATACTCTTTCTAGATTTTAATATTTCTTAGAGATGTTTTCTTTTTCATTTTAATATTAAATAAGAAGACTAGACTTTCCTAAATACATGCATAGTTCTTGTAACAAACCGGAAACGGTTGGTAATTGTAACCTTTTCTTGGAGGGGTTATATCCTCTTTTTTTTTTTAAAGACTCACTCTACCTCTTGAACATTTTAATTTGCGTCACAATTTAGTTTTTTTTTATTTTATTTTTTGTTCTTTTTGGTGAGTAATTTAAAACGCGCGCCAAGTTCTTCGATTACCTGCGGGCCCGTCCAGCCCGCAGCCGCGATCTCCGACTTCCACACCCAGAACAGCTCCCTTAATATGTTCATTAATTTTAATTATTCAAAAAATCGACGAATAATATTAACAGAAAAGATATAAACATGAGGCATAAAAATTTGATACCAGAATATAGAGATATATATTGGAGGGTCAGGCAGGCAGACTTTAAGGCAGGGTGTGTCGTAAGGGCACGCGAGTCTGAAAAAATACCAAGCCAAAGAAGCCACTCAAGTGTTGGGTACACTCCCG